ATGACAAGACCGTTTAATTTTGATGAGGAAGGTACCATTTAAGGTCAGCAACTTTCATTCCAATAAATAATTTTATGAGTTGTGGTATTAAACTTCATAAAAGTGTGTAAATATTATTAAATAAATATAATAAATATATTAATAAATAAATATTATTAAGATTTGAATTAAAAAAAAAAAACAATGTTAATATTGCCTTGTTATTGTGGAATGAGCTGGGTTTTTCAAATATGTAAATATTTTTTGGCAATTCATATTTGATGAATTAATCATCATCATCATCAGCCGGAAGACGTCCACTGCTGAACATAGGCCTCCCCCTTTGAACGCCACGACGGACGACATTGCGCCAGCTGCATCCAGCGGCCGCCCGCGACTCGGACGATGTCGTCTGTTCATCTTGTCAGGGGGTCGACCCACGCTGCGTCTTCCGGTTCGTGGTCTCCACTCGAGAACCTTTCGTCCCCATCGGTTATCGGTTCGTCGAGCGATGTGGCCTGCCCACTGCCACTTCAGTTTACAAACTTTGCGAGCTATGTCGGCCACTCTAGTTCTTTGGCGAATATCCACGTTACCGATCCTATTGCGCAAAGAAACCCCTAACATAGCTCTCTCCATGCCTCGCTGAGCGACTCATGAATTAATAATTTGAAAAAAATTTATTGCAAAAATTATAAGAAATATAGTTTCCTTTAGGATTTCTTATCTAATGAACCAGTACACTATTAGTTAACCTATGATGTCCACTAATAAATTATTGCCAGCAGGATTAAAACCGATTTACATAATAAGATAACAATATCACCCTATAGATAAATGATATCAAGCTTTTAATGTGACAAACAATGACAGATCTACCTTTGACGAGGTATTACCAGAGTGAATGAGTGTGAAGTTTTAGTCAAATTATAAACTACATAATATGTTCAGTATAATAAATAATATACGTAATTAGAATCACACGAGTTTATTTGGCTAGGTAGCCAGTGTAGAAGTGACAATCCATAAATACCCTCCACTTAATTAACATTATTGATTATAATAATGTAAAAAGTACCTACATCAAAATCAATACACTATTGATATACGACATTCCTTCCCCTCACAAAAAGTACAAACATTAATACACTAATTAAGTATATTGCAAGCTAAGTACTTTAATACAACTGACAATCTATGTTTAATCATGAATAGCTATCAATACTATTTTAATTATAAAGCAATAATTAGAAATAATGGCAATAAAATAATCTAATACAAATAATAATGATCTTTAGAATTACTAGGTCTTTCATAAGGTATTTTAGAATGTATATGAAATTTATTTTTGATCTTTCACAACTGATTGAGGCACCTTGTTTGAAATAGGTATTCCCAACACTATATTAATAAATAATTCTAAAAACCTCAGGTCTTTTTTAAGCCATTTGTAACACAGTTATGTACTCTAAAATGTCACTGTTCCATATCCTTCAAGTAAATAAATAAAGGGATGCAGGCAGATTGGGCAGTATAGCAATTACACATTTTATCCTAACATATTCTGATGAAGAATATAGCAAAAAATTGATTAGAATATGAATAAAACCCATCTAACTCTATCTCACTCATTAGGGTTTGGAACATGGTTCATCATCAGTTCATCTTTTAGGTCCACACTGCAAGGGCTCAGTCGTTGCTTAAGGATGGCTTAAGGTGGCCATGACCCTCAGCACAGGCCTAATGCGGAATAGAGGGTATTAACGACTGCAAATGCAACTGGGACTAATGACTTAATGTGTCTTCTAAAACAAGGAGTAGCTATAGCTTGATAATGTTGGCTGGTTAAATCGAGGATGGCTATTATCGGCTCATCAATTGCTTAATACAATAATTTTAATAATTAGCTTTAAGCTGTTGCCAACCCGAATAAAATAAATAAATAAAATATAGATAATATTGTCTTGGTCACCCATACCGTGACCGACCCTTGTGAAAGTTGCTTAACGATAACTATCGCGGGCCATGGTGCTTATCCATTACGCCACCGAGTTGAAAACTGGCTATAATTCGTTACCTATTCATAGTGAAATTATGGCTATTCAGAATCAAAATTATTAACACTACATCAAAAAGACGATAAAACCTGCTGCAATAATTACAGACCAATAGCACTTCGTAATTCCTAACTAACATATTAAAAAACTGAAATTTGAAAAGTTCGAAACTTAGATATCAATACAAATATGAAAAAGTACAAATAGAATATGAGTTGTTTATTGAGTTTTGAAAACCAATTTACTTTTAAACATAAAAGAAAACTGGAAGGGTTTTGGTTAATGATAAGTCAAACTTGGAAAAAGTGGGATAGAACGGCATAAGAATCCATTGTTGTTGCTTGGGACTATCCAGGTTAATCCCAATGGAATGGAATTAATAATTAATAGTTTGAAGAAATAAATTAACAGTGTATATACCAATATTTTTTAGGTTGGTGCCAGCACAAAACAGCAATCTATTACTTATTATGATATTTTTCTTATATATCTGGCACCAACCTCAAAAAAAATTGTTTGTGTATACACTTTTTGTGTTTAGATTTTATTGAAGATAAAATTTGTGGTAATATATCTCTCTTATCAGTTGTTTCCCATATTATGATTTTTTTGAAGTCAGTATAGTTTTTTAAATTGTATATTTAATAATACAAGTTATCACCAATTCATACTACTTACTTCTTACTTATGATAAATCGACACCGTCATCATACATTCTTATATATACCAAATAAACATTTTCTAGTAGCAATTTTAACCTAACCTAACCAGCCCACTATTCTTAACACATTTCGTTTTCATTGGGGTTGCAGTTCTAACCTAACCTAAAGTTCTGGGAACAGTTTGTTTCTTAAGTCATTTAGGCTAGAGTTCAGAGTTTCTAAGCAACTGATTAGTACTTAATCAGTGTCAAAAAAGGCTGTGTCATCTGAATTTGGCAGAACTACATACGCAACTGATTAGCGTATTACAATTCCCTAATTTGTTCTAAAAGATGGATAATCAGCCGAATTGGTAATCGTGATTAAAATTTACCTAATGAACATGAATTTGTTTAATGACAGCCATTATTAAATTTTAAACAATGGTTAAAATTTAATTGTTTGATTTCTTAATCAATGTTTAACAGGCAGACAATGAACTCCAGCCTTAGTGAGTTTTCTCTTATCACAAAATAGTCAATCAAACAAAAGAAGTGTCATTACAATCCAATATCTTATTTACAAGAAATTCATTGTCATTCACTCACAAACCATAGCACCTGTGCACTCATAAACTAATATAAATGAATATTGCGCCAAATTCTAACTAAAATACACACATACAGGTCAAATAGGAAATATGCACATTTTTGGAAAATGGTTTTATATGATAATTTACATGGATATATAACTGTAAAAAAATACCCGTCACCAAAAAACTAAAATTTTGTAACATTAATAATTGATGAAAATAAGTAATAGCTATGAGCAGGTTAAACACCGGAATTTTTGGCGCGCTCGTCATGACGTCAAACTAGACTAGAGATATGACATTTTAAATCAATATGGGTTTTTGAGTAATAGATTATTATTCAATTACCTAAATCGATTAACAACTAATCGATTTTTTAAACTATAATAGACTTTTTTAATAAATCATATAATTTACTTAATTGGTGAAATAAAAATAAAAGCCTAAAACTCATTTAAATTGTAATCAGTTGTTTATTTTGCGACAAAATATATTGATGTTATTGCATCGATGTTAACTTTTTGTAACAACGACATCCCTATACGTGTACATTTTCGTCACATCCGCTCTGACAAGTAGCATGGCGTTTAAATATTTTGAAGTTACTGCATTTATTTTGCACTTTTTAATAATTATTTTCAAGACGAAAACAAACTAATATTGAAAAATATTTAGATAGAATTTATTCTAAAGCAATAACGATTGTAATAAAATATATTTAACCTTTTTTTGAACGCATATTCCTTATTGCGAACCTCTTTTTTGAAGATAGTTTAATGATATACATTCACAAGAGGTAAACTTCTTTGAAGTTGGTTAAGAAGGTCGTCAAGTTTTACTTTTTTCATAAGTTAATTCTTTACTCCTTTTATAATCTTAAATTTCAATAATTTATATCTTCAATACATAATAATAAAAAATTTAGATTTCTCAAATTGAAAGCTAAGCAATTAAACAAAAAAGAATAATTTTAATCTGATTTCTAGTTTGCGAGATATCCATAGACAAACATAGAGTCATACATACATACATTAATCTTTTTTTTTAAGTAGGTTAAAAAATAAAAAACAAGCTTGCTAAAGTAGTAGACAATATTGTAAGTAAATGATTTACATTGCTGGTTTATTTGTCAGGTGTTTTTATGTATTAAGAATCACAGAGTGATGGTTTTTCCTACTGTTCCCCCCTTAGTAGTAGAAATAAAAAAGTGAAAAATATGGATGCTAATTTAATACACCCTCGCACTGGAATGGTTATAAACTTGCAATAAGTTTGATACAAAGGTAACAGTTTGAACTAACATTATGACACTTTTTATCTTGCTGAAAGGTTCTCTGAGGTTCACAATTCTGAGGGTCTTAACACATAATTTCTACTGTCTCCCGAAAATTATTTTCATTTGTATAATAATATAGAAATAATCCATTACAAAATCAAACGAAACATGCGAACCCGTTAGATTTATTAGTAGTTTAGCAATAACCTTTAAAGGCACTTGTACAGAACCTACCTACTTTGTTTCATTTTAGACAATACCTTCTTCAAATAAGGAGATTTGTAGTAAAACTTTCTGCTACTACTAAGTTTATTTTAAATCACGTTAACAAGAAAATTGTATTATGTGATATGTGTATGATATGTGTTAAATAAAATCACAATAATAGCGATAAAGGATGGCAACTAAAAACCGAACAATGTTACAGAAAAAAATGGCAGCTTTGAATCACTTACCTCGCCTTCACTGTTGGCAGCCGTATTAGAAGTTTTGTGATCCGATTTTAATTGTTGGTCATTTAAACTACTGTAAAATTTTGTATCTTCGTTTGTGATTATTGTGGCACTTTTATCAGGAGCTTTCGGTTCCCTATCATAATCCGGCGGAGGAGCCATCTTGAAGGAACAGCAGTCAGATGACACAAGTCTTATGACTCTTATACACCGAAATCACTCTTCACCCCGTATGTTACAAAATATTACAAAGCCTAACTATTAAATCATCATGATATGATATTTTTTTACAACATATTCAAAGTCCTTACAATTTCTAAAACCAAATTCATCATTTTCGATATCTACGGACTAACATTTTTGCCACAGATTATTGACCAACACAGAACCAATTTTCTCTTTGAACATATACTCTAGGTGAACACAGAACAAACACAAAGATTAGTGGGTCAGACTCACACCGAGAAGTCCCAAGAACATAATTATCTGCGCGTTTCGCACAATTCCGCTAATTTCACGTGGATAGCCATTTCACGATAGGGATTCTATACTTAATTAAGTTGGAAAAGAGATTCTAATATTTAAATAAATAATTATACACTTTCTATGTCGATAACGAACCTGAAACAAAACACATTTTATCGCATGCACCACGTTACACAACACAACACATAGACAGGCATAACATTTTAGTAAGGGTGAAATAAGGAATGGTTCATTATAATTTTAAATTATTACTTAGGATAAATTTAAATAGTGTTTTAAACAGGTTGTATTAACCAGTTGAAGTACATTTTTAATATTAATGGGACGGGGAACTTCTTGTACATCATACAGGGAGTACATCATACAGATACAAAAGTTTGGGACAGTCAAATAGTGTGTGTTCTACAGATCCCTCATCTAGGCCGCACTCACGAAGGGGATTATCCTTAACATTAATTTTGGCCAAATGAACTGGTAAGCTTGAGTGACCAATGCGGAGACGGCATAACAATGATACAACCTGTTTGGGAATATGTTTCTGTTGTATGTACCAAGGTTTTGTTAGAATAGTTGATTGGATGTCAAAGTAGTACATTTCACTCTTATTTTTAGTCTTTGTCCAATGCTTCTTCCATGATTGCAATAGATGGGAATGAAGGAAAGGGATGAGATCGTTATATGTAAGTTCGGAATGACTAGTACAACCAGAGGGAATTGCATTCCGGGCACATGAATCAGCAGTTTCATTGCCGTGTATGCCACTGTGACCTGGGATCCAGCTCAGCTTCAGTTCTATTTCTTTCACTTTACATCTAAGTAAAGCTCCTCTAATTTTGAGAATAATTGGGAAGCGTGGTTTGGACCGCATGCGATTGGAGGATATTGCCTAAAGGCAGGTAGGAGAATCGGATAGGATGATTGAACGGTTTAAATTGTGTGATTCACAATATAAAATTGCCTCTGATATTGAGATTGCTTCACCTGTAAAGACTGATGAGGGTGGTGGAATTTTAAAATTCAGGACTATCTTATACTTGGGTATCCATATTGCCGCTCCAACACTCTCAGTATCTTAAATCTTGGATGCATCCGTAAATATTTGAAGCCAATGCGGCCAGTTTTTACACATTACCTCATTGGAGGATTTATTTGTACTGGGTGACTGTTTTTCAATACCTAGATTAAGTGAGATGGGCGGGTCGAAAACTAAAGACTCGAAGCTGTTTAAAAACAAAGGGTGGCAAGGAAATTTTTCAATGGAAATGGAAGGGCGGTGAAACTTATAATAACTAGTAACTATACAGGGTAAGTACTTTAAGAGAAGAATTAGAATTTATATTTGATAAATGGGTCAGCTTGTCTAAAGAAGGTAATAATGGGTGAGTTTCATTTTGTAAAACCTTAAGGAGAAATCTGTCACTGAGGTATTGTCTATTAAGAAGAAAAGTGGGGGATCGCCCCCTTCTATTTGAAGGGCATTGATGGGGGAGGATTTCATTGCCCCTAATATAATTAGTAAGCGCATCGATTGGATTTTGTTAATTTTATCCAGAGCTGTTTTATTGCATGGGTCAAGGAGAAATGAGCCATAGTCAAAGTGACTACGAATTATTGCGTTATAAAGCAGTCTTTGAGTTACTGGGTGTACGCCCCACCAGACGCCAGACAAAGCTCGCAAAACATTTACGCCCTTTTCTGCTTTACTGGCAATATTATTGAAATGCTCAGTACCCGTGAGTCTAGAGTCCAGTATCATTTCTAAGTACTTTACTGAAGGCTTAATTTCAATTGTGAAGTCCTGAAATTTGATGTTCGGAGCAGGGATGTTTCGTTTCTTTGCTAAGATTACCGTGCTACATTTTGGTGTGGAGACGGATAGTCCATGGTCAGACAGCCAATCACCGAGATATGATAGAGCAGAGTTAAGTCGTGAAGTAGCTTCCGGTATTGATTTCACTGTGACGTAAAGGGCTACGTCATCTGCATATTGGAAAATCTGGCAAAAGGGGTTCACCGAAAGTTCCATATCGAAAGTGTATAAACTGTAAAGTATGGGGCTAAGAACCGATCCTTGTCTTGGCCTTTCCATACAGTCCTAGCCAATGTATGGTTTTGAGACCTTATAAAAATAGACCTGGACGTTAACAGGTTGCAAATGAATCGAACCAACTTCACTGGGATGTTTAGATGTTGCATTTTCTGCCTGAGCACCGGAATAAGAACATTGTCATATGCAGACGATATATCCAGGAAAACCCCAATTAAGTACTCTTTTTTCACTAACGCTAAATGGATGTCTGTTGTTAGAGTACTGAGATTGTCTAAAGTGATATATCCTTTTTTAAAACCGAACTGTGATTTTGCAAGAATGTCACGTCTTTCTACAAACCACTCTAGGCGATTTTTCATTATATGCTCCACGACTTTTAGAGAACCGACGAAAGAGCTATAGGCCTATAAGAGGAGTAGTCGGATGGGTTCTTACCTGGTTTTAGGATTGGAATCACAATCTGTTTTGTTCATTGTTCAGAGATGAGAGCTTTATCATAAAAAAGGTTAATTAATTTTAACGAAAGGAAGTTGTCCATGGACATGGAATGATTGTATTTTTTTTCGGATTGTTTCCGTTTTTTTAATAACCTCTGAACATTCAGAGTCCCACCATGGGGGAGATATTCTTTTTGGGGTGCAATTTTTTTTGGGGATGGGGATGGGCGGCGTCAATTAGGTATTCCACTAACGCGTCATAAGCTTTGGTACCATTTTTAGACGATTCTTTAGGAAGGCTTTCTACATTACTGTCCAGTATCTGAGAATAAGCTGACCAATTTGCCTTGTGAACTCTAAATTGTAATAAGGGAGGTGGCCGATTAGTAAAAGGGGGACTATCTAATGTCGAAATTAAAATTGGGAAATGGTCACTGCCATGTGTGCTACTTAATACGGTTGAAGATATATTCGATGCCAGTGAAGGAGAACAAACTGTGATATCCACTGCTGATGGGTTTTGGTTAAGGCGATTCCTTCTAGTGGGGCTGCCATCATTTAGTAGACAAAGATCTCTCCCATCTAATAAGTCAATAAGTTGGCAACCGAGGGAATCATTTGAATATGAACCCCATGCAACATGATGTGCATTTAAGTCTCCCATAATTACTACAGGAGGAGGAAGTGTCATAATAATGGCTATTAATATTTGGATAACAATATTAGGTGAAGATTGGGGAGGAATATATATTGATAAAAATGTTATGTTTAAGAGTCTCACAGCCACTGCGTTAATGCAGTCACTGTGGGGTTGTAAATTGATTTTATTAAAAGGGAGAGAGTAACTGACCAGCAATGCACTCCCTCCATAACCGTCCCTCCTGTCATCACGGAGGCAGGAGTCCCGGATATACTATAGACTGCACCAGGTACCAACCATGTCTCCGACAAGGCAAAGATAGACGGGGAGAATTTATTTATTAAAATAATTTAGTTCATGAGTTTTGGTATTAAGAGGGTTTCTAACAAGTTATCATTTGGGGAGATTTCTATTGGTGAGTTGTCATTACTTAGAGCGCAGCCATTTGGAAAGAAAGAAGGACAGTTTTCAATAATAGCCTGATGAGCTAATCGATCATATCCAGGGCTCAATGGGATTCTAGAGTTTGGGGGAAGGAAAACAGTTTTTCGGTGTGAAGTTGTGCTTGTTGGATGTTAGTTAGGAGATGTTTGAGTGTGCTGAATATGGGGATGCCTCGATAAAGGACATTGGGTTACATCCGCATAGGATATGGCAACGTAATCTGTGACATTTGTAATAATAGGGGTTGTTAATTAAAGAATGAAATTGCCGATTTGTACCGGAAATAAAAATTATTTAATTTTTAACAAATTTATTTAATCAATATAGTTACCATTATTATCTATAAATTGCTGCCATCTTATGAGGAAGTATTGAAAAAACGATAGCACTAAAAAATCACCTCCACTAGATGGCGACTCTAGTAAAATTTGATTTTTGCAGGAAACGAATGTACTAAAGACAGTCATTTCCGTTCCTTTTAACTAACATATTAAAAAATTGAAATTTAAAAAGTTCGAATCTTAGATATCGATACAAATACGAAAAAGTGCAAATATTTAATTTTTAACAAATTTATTTAATCAATATAGTTACCATTATTATCTATAAATTGCTGCCATCTTATGAGGAAGTATTGAAAAAACGATAGCACTAAAAAAGCACCTCCACTAGATGGCGACTCTAGCAAAATTTGATTTTTGCAGGAAACGAATGTACTAAAGACAGTCATTTCCGTTCCTTTTAACTAACATATTAAAAAATTGAAATTTAAAAAGTTCGAATCTTAGATATCGATACAAATACGAAAAAGTGCAAATAGAATATGAGTTTTTTATTGAGTTTCGAAAACTAATCTACTTTTAAACTTGAAAGAAAACCGAAAAGGTTGTCATAGAGAAATCAAGAACGTACCGTAGCGACATCTAGTTTGATTTCGGGAACTAGTGTTTCTTTTTTTAATTCTTCCTCGTAGGAAAGTCATTTATGCCTTTACGATAGAACTCTGAGGATCTAGACTGCAAAAACTGTGTGAAAGCAGAAATTTTCTTCACAGGAGGCAACTGTGAAGAAAATTTCTTGTCACGTAGATAATTGAAAATTGCTGAAGAAAAAGAAAACTGCTGATTTATGGGTAAATCCATTGAAGTTTCTAAATCGGTAATTGAGACATGGCTCCAATCCTAGCTTATATATTTAATGAATGTACTGATTGTGGTATTTTTTCTGAGCTCATGAAATATAGTAAAATTATTCGTGTACGTAAAGCGAGTAGCACATCTAAACCTACTAACTTTAGACCTATATCCGTGCTATCTACGTTTAGTAAGATTTTTGAAAAAATCATCCTGGATCAAATACAAAGATACTTTTACAACAATAAATTTACGAATCGACTACATTTGGTTTTACAAGGGAAACGTTCGTAAAAATATTAGTTTGTTTTCTATAAAAAGTGATGTACACAATTTGAATACAAGAAATAAAAATAAATTAACGGTGCCTGTCACTAGACTGCAAAAAGTTAATAACTCATTCAGGGGTCTTTGTGTGCGCTTCTACATTAAGGTCCCAAGCAAAATACAACAATTAGATATCATGCAGTTTAAATCTACTATTAAAAAAATACTTATTAAAAAAGCTTATTATAAGGTATCCGATTATATAACAGATAAGAATGCTTGGACATGAGGTGATCCAGCAACTGGATAGGTGATTACTTTTTAACTCATTATATATCAAAAATTATCTTGCTTCCATTATTATTAAATGATTATGTTAAAGTTTATTTTTATTTTTCTTTCTCTTTATTTATAATGTATTGATCTGGTAATGACATGGTTTTTGTAAATGTCATTACTCCTGTTAGAGCTGGTGAGTTTCTTGCTCGTTCTTCTTATCAGCCAAAAGACGTCCTGAACGAGCGGTAGGGAAAAAAATGTTGGACGATTCAAAAGTACTTTTAAGAAGGCTATTTGAAAAAATATTATTTTGACTTTGACTTTAAAGTATGAAATTGCCGTTTTATTGTAATAGGTTCCTTGAATTGGCATAGAATGTCCATGGTTTGAGATTTTCGAAAAAACTTTTTCCACATGGTTTCTATAATGTTCTTCTTTTAAAAAATGTGAAACATTTGAATATCGACTTTCAATTGTTTTTGTTATTCAACTTACAATTAGACAAGAAAGATGGATATTGCGAAAATTCGCAGATTTTTGAATTCGAGTTTTTTACTTTCGACAAACCACTCAAGACGATTTTTGATTAGATGTTCAAGAATCTTGATCATTTTACATGAAAGGGCAATAGGTCTATATCCACTTGGATCACTGGCAAGTTTACCAGGTTTTAGTATAGTGATAATAATTTGCATTTTCCATTCATCTGAAGGGATGTCTGTTAAAAAAAAATTGATTAAGTATATTAAGGAGAAGCTCCCTAGTTGAAGTATTACTATTTACTATTAGTGAGTATGGGATTCCATCAATACCCGGCGAGGAGTCTTTCAAGCCATCTAATGCAGCTGAAAGTTCATTAAGAGAAAATGGCTCATCAAATTCGGTTAACGAAGATGGTGATAGGATGGTAGAAGAAGTAACTTCACTACTTGAAGGAACTGATGGAGGTGCTAATTTACACTGAAACGGGTCAATCCACTGTGACGTATCATTTATAGTGAAATAGCTAGTGTCAGCCATAGCACAACACATTTTTTTAACATTTCTCCACACCAAGGATGGAGGTTATCTGGGTGAGAGGTATTCAGCCACTTCTTTTTTTTTTTCTAAAAGAGTTTTCACAGCTTTTGCAGCAATAGCTCGATATTTTATGTAATTTGACTCTGTCATGAATTCTGCATATATCTTTTCATATGCTTTTCTCTCTTTGCAGACTCTAGTACAATCAGAATCCCACCAGGGTGGAGACCGGGGTTAATCTTTAAAACTATTTTTAAAACAAGAAATAAAATTATTACTTCCACAATAAATGGAACGCTACTAGCGAAGCATTTTATTCGATCTCAAGGAAATTGTGTTAATTCCAAATCAAATAAGCTAATGATTGACAATATGAAAAACAAAAATAAATATAAATTTAACAAGGATGAGAACGAAATTTTGGAAATTTGTATGATGACGGTGAGGAATAATTATAGTTATAGTATCGTAATACAGTTTTTTATGTCATATTTTATCTTAATTTTCAATTTATAATAAATAAAAATGTATACACGGCAATGTTGTAGTTTTTATTCCAAAACACGGCAATCCAGAATCTAAAACACGGCTACTTAAAATTTCGCAATGACAGCCTTGTTTGACAAGATGGACGTCAATTTTGTGGTGAATGTCAAAGAGTAGTATTATAATTAGGGGAGTGTATGTTGTTGTGAGTGTTTCTATGCGTAAGATACGCCTAACCTGCGAATAACTATAAACAAAAATCGACTTCAAACAATTGTCTCATCGAAAAATAATAAACATGTCTGAATCTAAAGAAAACATTTTTATTTTCGTCCCTAACCTTATTGGTAAGTTTAAATCGGGTTAATCATATTCATTAACCAATGCAGATATAATATTTGACGACGTTAAGGTTGTTTTATGTTTCAGGTTTCGCGAGAGTCATTCTTTTGATCATATCCCTTTACTATATGCCTACTCATTGTGTGGTCGCATGCACTTGTTACATTACTTCAGCTTTACTTGATGCATTTGATGGCCATGCTGCAAGATATTTCAACCAAAGTAAGTGATACTTATTGTAAGGTTTCTTTGTTCATTAATTAAATTAAACTAGCTATAGAATAGATATTTAAGTAGCAGAAACTCTATATTTCAAGCACTTTTATAATAATTTAAATAATATTCAATGTCATATAATCAAAATATGTGTAAAGTAGTGCTGAATTCTTATGAATCAAAAATAATAATTAAAAAGATTTAATGTTATGGGTGCTGTCTCATAACATTGATGTGTAATAGTTTTAGTTAACTAATTTATTCTGAGAGTTCTGCATTAACAATTCAAAACATGTAATATATGTACAATAAATCAATGATAATTTAAATTACATTCATAATAAATTAGGGAACATTTGAAATTATTTGTACTGACTGACTGAATCAAACTAACATTCAAAATATGCGTCTGTAAATTAGTTGTAATTTGATCAAATAACAATGAAAATACAAAAGATGAAATAAATAAGTTGAATTACCACTTATTTTACTTTTTCAGGTACCAAGTTTGGTGCTATGTTGGATCAACTCACAGACCGTGCTGGTACTTCCTGTCTCATGATGACCTTGGGTGCATTCTATCCACAGTATCTTTTTTGGTTCCAACTATCCATGGCTATTGATATTACTGGTCACTGGCTTTACCTTCACACAACTACCCTACAAGGAAAAGCCTCACACAAATTCATAGATATGTCTGAGAATCCAATCATGCATCTCTATTACACAAATAGGACTGTGCTTTTCTTTATGTGTGCTGGCAATGAGGCATTCTATGCTGCTCTGTATGTAATGTATTTCTACACTGGACCCACAGGTAATAAAATGTATAATGAATTAAAATAACCCTAAAACACATTTTCACTAACCTTGACAAAGCTTTAATAGGTTTAGTTAAAACAAATAAATTGTTTTAACCCTTGATACATTTATGATCTGTCACATTATGTTCATGCTTAGTGCTGGCCACCGCATAATCGCATGTCAAATAAATTAGGCCATTACAATTATTTTTGTATAATGATAATGCTAAATAGTTTGTTAAATTTAAAATGCATTATTTCATTTTAAAATCAACACAGTAAATAAAAAATGTTAAGTTTTATAATCTTTCCATAAATATCGGAATTATTAACACCTGTCTTAAACTGACATTAAAGTAAGTTGAGTAAGATATATATATTTTTTTGTCAATGGTACTGGTTGAAGTCTGTATGACGTCATTTTGTAATGATTTGATGGAAAATTTCATAGGAGTGAATTTTTAAATTTCAGTCTTTTTATACTAATATCACATTGCATGCACATCAAGACAAGTTCGTATGTGTATCTCTAAATCAACTTCTATATGAGACAGTCAATATAAACCATCAATATTGAAGTTTTGAAATAATTTTAATATTAATTGTAGCTTGTAGACAATATTGAACAAAATTAATAACTGAGAGATTATAAACCTTCTTCAGCTTCGGCTTTCGCCGAAGTGGCGATTGTAGATCAATCGGCTTCGGCCAAAAATAGACCTTCGGTCGGACACTAGAAATTATACACCTTTACTGGGTGGGTAGGACATTTGAAAGGGCTGTTTAGCTTACCCTCTACTATGTATTAAACTGTAATATGGTTTCAAAAGAATTTTATAAAGACTCCTATTTGTTATCCATTAGGACAATGCAGTAAAATCATTGTTACTTTTTCAGTAAAATGTAGTCAATAAAAAAAAAATTGTTTGACTTGTCACATGTATTTTTTAAAGGTCGCGTCTACCCACCGTTTCTGATAATTTAAATTAGTTTTTGCTTAAATTTGAATATTTCAGCATCTTTTCATCTGGAGGCCAGGAATTCGTAATATGTAAATAATGTTATAAGGTATAACAGCTATCAATAGTCAACATAATTGTGAAGCTACTTTAAAAATGAATACATTAAAATTAATAAAAGCTTTTTAAAGTTCGTAGATATGGAAATTAAACTAAACATGCACTTTTTTAGCTTTCGACAAAAGAATATTTTTTCATATTACATAAACACAATATGGCAAACTGTCATTGGGTCTGAATTGCATTGAGGTAGTGTTAAGGACGAAATCGCATTCCGCTAGTTGTCATAGTACTATTTAAAAATATTTATAAGCCTCGCAATTTTAATCCTGACTTCATTTTAAGATTTAATTTCTTGTTATGAAATAAGTAAAACAATAATACATTTGCAATATAAGCTACATTTTGTGATATATCATATCACTATATGCATAAGTAAAATTTTAAGTCAAAATTGGACATGATTCTTTACTGCATATAATTTCTTTCTTTCTTTACAATATTTTGGTCTGAATATTTACCAACAACATTCATTTAGGACTCTAGTCAATTATAATTGTGTGTTTGTTTTCTTTATCCTAATAATGTTATTTAATAAATAAATTCTTTGCAGTGTTGGGTATGGGTCTCTACAAGTTGATTGCTCTCGTGTGCCTTCCTGTGGCTGTTGTCAAGACCATGATTACAATCTTGCACATGGGTGTTGCTTCCTTGAACCTGGCTACCATTGATGTCAATGAACGTTCCAAAATAGCTGCTAAGCAAAATTAAATGGTGTTCTCAACATTATATAGATTCCAGCATAATTTGTTCCTGATGTGATCTTGCATTTAAGTCGAATATTATTTGCAAAATAGAGTTGTTTTTCGCAATTTAAAAAAGTTTTTAAAAGTAGATTTAATTGTAAAAACTCAGGTAATTGTTTCCAAGTTGTCTTCTATAAATTATAAAAGTGATGTAGACAACCTTATTTTTAGATATACATGAAATATATCTAAAAAAATATCATTTTATAAGTTAAAATGTAAAAAAATAACAATTTTCAAAATTTCCAGCGGATGCGCCGCTTCTGTCATAGCATCATTATGACATCACAGCACTCTGAAACGAATATCGTTATATGTATGCGTAAGGTTGAATTCTCTAAGCAATAGCAATATAATAAATATAATAAGCTTAGAAATGTGGTTATCGGTAATAGTATTACTAAACATTACCAGAAAAAAAAATATATTTCGAATATTTTTCAGCACTGTGAATGCAACATTGATCAGATATAATAATATTTATTTATTTTCGTTTATTGTCTATACCTGTATTACTTAATTGTATTAGACATTATTTCAGTGTTTGTATATTTTATTTTAAAGTATAACTAACAATTTTTTATTTACAAAAACTATTTCGCTGTTGCTGTTAGTGTTATTGATATTTTTATAATTTTTTATAAATATTTTGTTGTAATTGTAATAAGTTTACTATAGCCTGGTTGCCGAATGGATAGACCATTGGAGAGACATATCCTACTTTGACGATTGTGCCTACCCTACTTATGGATATCGTAAATATTTTATATTCACTTTACTACAAAATTGGCTAGATGCTTCTGTACGTGCGCAATAGTTATGTTTGCCCGCGAGTAAAAGATATGTAGTGCCAGGTCATTGTACAAAATTTTCTCTCTTCGGCGACTGGACTTTATTAGTACAGGTTTTTTTAGATTGTATATGTACTTGTTCACGTAGAAGACAAGGCAATCACTCAAGGCACATTAAAAGAAAGCTCATGTTTCTTTGTTTTATCATATGTTGTATTTAATTACAATAATATTATTTAAGTATAATAAAAATATTAATTTATTTTTTGTTGGTGTCGGTTGTTGCAGGTGACTATTATGACTATATTTACTTGATTCCAATTAAATTTAGCAAAAAAAAAACCTATATTATAACAAATTACTTTCAGTATGTGTATTAATTATGTTACACGCCCCTTTGCATTACCGTTAACAAGTACTATGTATATGTAAGTTCTTAATGTTAAATGTTGTGCTTACTAGTTTTAATGTTACTATTATGGAAAAAATGATGATCTCGAATATTTTGTATATCTCGAGATATATTGAATTTTAGTTCCGATGTATGTTATTTTTTATATTTACATATATAAAACTCAAAACAAAACAGCACCCATAATAACTACTTATTTGACTGGCACCACATTATAATTTATATAATTATGTTCAAGCGACAACACGTTAGGTTATACGGATCTGTCAGATTTCTTCAATTGATTTTAAACTTTTATGTTTTGAATTAAGGGTTTAAAATCAACTACAGAAATTTGACATATCGTGGTAGTCTGACGTACTGCCGTTTGTACATATAGCCAGAATCCGAACAATACTCAAAGCGGCAAAAATTCAGCGGACGATCAGTACGAATCTTCAATTTCCTCTATAAATAATATAAAAATTTTACAAGAATTATCATGTGTCTACTAGTCAGAAAAAAATAATATTAAGGGGGTGCCTGTATATAAGAGTTCATTGTAATTTTACACGCGGCAAACCATCATGGTTTTCACGGTGAAAAAATGTTACAAATGAATGCCAAAGATTGCTATTGAAATAGATATAAAAATCTTGTACTAACAGAAAATGCCGTACTTAGTTTCTGGAGGGGATTTCTAGCGTGTCGTGTATAGGAGAGGGGGAGTCGGCTCAGCCATCCCTACTGTTGGATTAGAGATCAGTATGCTGATTTCCAAACCGATAAGCAAACTTCAATTCACAGATCAATTAGGGCTTCATGTAGTCGTTGAATTTAAAAACGAAACACGAGGTACGGATAATTCCTTTCGGAATAAAAAAAAATGTAATATCATTTAGATTAGAAGCAGCTAGTTTATATAGTTATCAACAATTTTATTTTTATTCATTCAATTAACCGGAGTGGAAAAAGTATTGTGACACAAGTCAGTGAAAAGACCCACAAGAAGAGTATAAGTTTATAGTAATTTATTGCAAAACAATATATTTGTTACGTTATATTATTTATTAAGTTACACTTTTACATGTTGAGGAAAGTGTCAATGACAACTGACCGGTGGGGAAAGAGTTCGTGACGTCACTTGTACATGTATTCGAAGAAGATAGCGCTCTTTTATTTTGCTGCAAAAAACTTTAAAATCAAAAACTAATGTGATAATTTTCGATTTCCTTTTACGATGTATGCTCAGTCCATAAAAATACTTCGTCGCTAAAATTTTCTAAACGAGTTTGTGGTCAAAATGGAAGACGATTACACAAAAGTATAATTACTTTGCGTAGGTATATTTACTTTACGTTATTAACTTATTATTTATAATTTTTATAAAGAAATCGAATTTAATAGACAAATGTCGAAAAATATACAGTGAAACTTGGTTAATTGGGATCTTAAAGGACCAAGGAAATTGTTTGAAATAGTTTAAAGAAGTTTCATTTATCCAGTTTTCCAATTAGATAGGTTAGAGATTTAGTTGTCTCATTTACAGTGGTCGAAATGTACCGTTATTCCATTTATAAATGTTAATAAAAATGCGTATTTATGGTGTTATGAATTAAATGTTGGTTTGTATTTATTATAAAAAAAAATACAGTAAATTTTATGACTTAAAGTAATCGGTTGTTTGTTATTTTATTATTAATTGAACCTATTTCTCGATGAAATAAAATTAAAGAAGTTTGAATTTTTGGGATGCCAATAACGTGTTACATTCATTTGTGAATGGACATTTTGTAAACTTCTATTCCCTTATTTGTAGGGAATGCAATCTCGCGAGATTGGGACTCGGGCGAGATCTCGCGAGTTTATGAATATCAATACCGCGAGATTTACACTTTTGTGTTTACTGTTTTACTGTGAAATTTATTCAAATTACAATATTTGAATAAATTAGGAAAAAAATGTAGGATTTATAGGTATTAAGAAATAAATATTTATTTTTACGGGTATTTTTTTATCTGAAACTTTTAAAAGTGCAATTTCTGTATTATAAAATCTCGGAAACGGCTCCAACAATTTTCATAACATTAAGTATGCATGGGCTTTCAGAGGCGATCAATCGATTTAGTTAGGTTTAATTTTTTATTTTATAAAAGTGCCAAGTGAAGCTTAGTCATACAGGTACTAATCTTATAAGAAACTAAACTTTGACGTATCTAATCAAATACGAAATGAAATAAGCAACCAGACTTCTCTGCTAATATCAAACAAAAGCTTAATTATAATACAAAGTTTTTAAAACAAAAATACAAAAACTAAAATAAAATTCATCAACTAAGTTGAATTGACTATTAAACATTTTTATCAATGAAAGAAAACTATGTGTAACTAGAGATCTATTAGAATTTAGAGAATAAATTAAAAAATATACTTAAACACACACAGGTACACAAACGCCCATTAAGGTTTAATGACTTCTGCAAGCTCTAAATAATGTCAAATTCGTACGGGTAATGTTGCTTTAAACTAATGACATTTTTAACGGGCGTTTGCGCATATGGCTGTTATATAGGGAATTAAGCTATAGAGTCCCCATTATAGAGGTAAACATCTAAAAAAATCCTATAAATCAAATCTCTTTTAACCAGGGTCGAAGTCCCATTAACAGAGGTAATCCATGAAAAAGGGCCGGCACCTCAATGCATTTCTAAATAATTGAGGTTTTACACTTGTCGAGGTCCCACTTAACCAGGTTTCACTGTATTTTATTTCTAGTTCTCAGTTACCTGTCTAAATATGTGCGTAAGAGTTAAAGATCAAGAGTACCTTCTAAGTCTAAGATGCTATTATATATATTACACAGTGGGATAGTAAGGTGTATTAAAGCGTATTGCATAGTAACAATCTTGTTAGATGTACCCCATGATTATATGTGTAATTAAAAAATAAAATAAAGAATCTATGTATTATTTTCAATCCGCCGACAGTTTGTAACTGATGCATAGACCCTAAGTCGGTGCACTGACAGAAGATTCTCAGCACTCTTGACAAAAATTGTAATGTCTTATACATTCATCTTTGCACAACCGACGGTTGATCCGTCAGATTCTGACTAAAGATCCGAACAGCACAGCGTCTCCCAATCTGTGGAGCATATAGGTATATGGGGAAGGAATGTACACGTGAGTGAAAATATCATTGTTGTTTTACTTGCTTCTGTAGGAAAATAATAGCTCGGTGGCGTAGTTATTGAGCGTCCCGGCGCGGGCTACATTTTCAGTCGTAAATATCCTCCAATCAGCATTGGGCCAGCGTGGAGGGCATGGCCCACCCTCTTTAATTATACATAAGGGAGGCCCGCGTCTCTGCAGTGGGGACGTAAAAGGGCTGATGATGATAATAGGAAAAGGCTGCATTTTGAAATACAAAGTGAGTGGTCCGATTATTGCTTTTCGCAGTAAAGTGGGACGGGGTCCATTGTAATTGTGCTTGATGCCAAAGGGCTCGTGGAGCAGGAAAGACTATTACAGGGAACGCTGGTCTAGCATATTACGAAAGTATGTGTTTAGTACACGATCAGTCTGCGAAGTTGACAGATATAGATGATACAGAACGGGATTTACGGGATCCTTCTTTCAGATATGTGCTAACCCTTATACTGGGCGTAATTGCACACAAGATTATATAAATAATTTGAGAACCTCCATTGGCTGTGTTAAGGATTATAAAAATAGGTATATTCGAAAGTTTCCAAGTAAAACTAGTATTATAGAATAACGTTAATTTATTACAATAATGCATTTGTTATTATAATAAAAGCATTAATATTTTAATATTACAAATCAAATCAATGTAATGTAATGACGATAGTAAAGTATGCATTGCTTTGAACAATGCAGAATGCTGAAGTGGTATAATATTAAGAGATTAAAACAAAGCTTGTGGCCTATATGGCTTTATACGATACGATGATCCTGTTACACCGCTTCTAGGGCTCGAATAAGATTCAAACCAAATTCGTTAGCATTCAATTTTATACATAATCCAAGACAAACCAAAAGCAATGTAACAAAAATCAAAAATAAAATAGAATTAAAATCAAGTTATCCCTTCAGGCTGCTCATTCCCGCTCTCATGATTTCGTCTACTAGAAGGAGGTTACTAGCGATTACAGAACAGGAGTTGAGGATTTGTTTTTTCACTATATAGTTGTCCAGAATACCCAAATCTGTAGGTTTGATAGCTTCACCGGAACTTAAATCCAAGCCCACAGGATCCGGACTCAAACGCGATTCTTCTTGTAGTTTAACAATAGTATCTTGGGCATCATAACCCGAATTCACAGCTAAAGTTTTTGGTATAACAAGCAATGCTTCAGCATAAGCTTGTATTCCTAAACGGGCTTTGCCTTTCACAGTATCTTTGAACTTCGAGAGCTCTACATTTGCCTTGATTTCGAACGCACCAGCGCCAGGGATCACACAATTGTCTTCAATAGCATTGTTAATAGCTCTCAAACCGTCACGAACTGCATCTTTGATTTGAGTCAAAGTGTGTTTGTTGGGACCCTTTATTAGGATGGTGACAGAGAGAGGATTTTTACATTCCTCGACAAAGGTGTATTTCTCTTCTCCAAGAATATGTTCATACACGAGACCAGCATATCCAAGGCATTCCTCAGTGAGGTCATCGACAGAGTTCATGGCGGTCCCGCCACACGCCAAAGCTAAGCGTTCCATGTTACGTCTCTTTGCTCTGCGCAAAGCAATAATACCTTCCTTAGCAAGTGCGTCTAATGAGAGTGGGTCAATACCTTTTTGATTAATGACAACAAAGGTTTTGTCAGTTCCATCACATAGTTTCTTCTTAAGAGCAATAATCTGAAACATATACATAAGTCTTAAAACAGACTGTAAAAGATAAGATAGATAGACAAAATAGAGAGTCAATAGCAATTACAGTTTTGACAAAAGAAAAAACAAACTGCTGTATGACAAGAATTTACATTACAGTATGACATTCAATTACTAATTTCTCATAAGTAGACAAAACTTCTTTACAGGTTCTTTAACCTGTAAAGAAGTTTTGTCTACTTATGAGAAATTTGTTTTCTGAAATCTGTGGTCTAATTCTCATTTTAAAATATATCGCAATTCATTTCGAAGCTATAGATCATGGGTGGCCAACCAGTAGATCGTGGCAATTAAAAAAACATAAATAAAATCAAAATAATTGTGTACAAACTATGCTGTTTCATTTAAGATTTTAAGAAGTAAAGTTACTGGTAGATCGTATTGGGTGTTGTCAGTGAAAAGTCGATCTTGGGTCTAAACAAGTTGGCCGCCCCTGCTATAGATATATATATCATGTAACATTTAATGCCGTAATTGAATGATCAAGTGGCATAATAAAAACTTAGCAACTTAAAGTAATATTTACGTCTAACTGTTGTTTTAGCTCCTCTGGTCTGTCGACTCACCATACAACGGCGAAATTGGTGAGGCAAATGGAATCACGAATTAAATGACAAATTTCAATTATTGAGGCGCCTTTTATGGTGTCAAATAAAGAAGTTTGAATAAAAAAGAAGACTACATTGTGACATTGCAAATGGAAGAGCCAACTGTGAAGATTTCAAATACATATGATTTTGAAGTTTGAATAGTTTAGAATAAAATATACTAAACTGCCGAGTTTTTCCTTAAAATCCAAAACTAATGGGCTTTAATTATTAGAAAAAATGCAGAAAATATTTCCTAACTATAGATTACAAGCAAATCTATGTGTTAAGTCTGTGGTTTTAAATTTGAAATATCTGGGAAACTCTGAGCGCAAGCCCAATTTTGTTATTAAACATAAACATGCTAACAAAATATTAATACATGAATAGTAATTTCAATTATACCTTTTTAACCCTCTGATCAATGAAATCTCTTTCTGCTGCCACCAATTTTTCCCTGTCCTCAGCAGATTTGTAAAAGAAGCCAGAGTTTACTTCAGTTTTTTCATATTCAAGCGATACATTGCATGTCAGTATGTACGCATTCTCAACACGTTTAGGCATATCAGGGTGACGTGCACCATGATCCATCACCAAACCTGAAAAATACAAAAGGATAATCAACATTGAACAATATACAGATAAGTTTTTAATCTATGCACAATTTTTTTTCCTTCAATTTGTATGTTTAACCATTTGATATAAAAAAAAACTTAAAAATATAGAACTGACTTCAAAAAGTGATAATTTCAAAGTCGCTTTTGGGATAAGTATTATTTATAATTTTTTAAGTTTGAAGTTGGTTTTATTTTTTTTAGTTTTTATTTCATGCTTTAGTGATATTTATATTTTTTATATAATAATAAGTAACGTTAAAAATAATAGTTTCCGCCAGCGGCTCATTTGAATATCGATTTATATATAATTACAATCATAAATTGAATATCTAACAAACGTTACTATCGTAACGTTATCATTCCCACTTCAAACTGCCACTCCCTTTTATCTCTTTATTTGCTGTTTCGGGATTAAATAAAATATAGACACAAATAAAATATAGTCATATCACCGCATACGATTTAATCAGTAAAGTTTGTTTGTTTGCAATGAATAAACTCAAACCTATTTGTTGCAAACGAAAAAACAGACAATCAAATCTTACCTCTTTATGATATTAGTATAGATATAGATCTATTTACATAAAAATATTAAACATTGTAAAAGTCTTAGAAAAAATTTTGTTTATATGCTTGAAATATTTGTTCCAATAATTTTATACTCATACAAGTATTAATTTTATTAATAGCAAAATATCCGTGTTATTGTTTAATTTCAAATGTATGTTTAATTTCAAAGACACTGCAATAAAAACCTGTATGTATTTATTTATTTAAGGTACATCAACAGCTATACATGTAATTAACCAACTAATATGTTACTTAATCTCTGAATACGTTAAAGCTACCTATTTATAGAAAGAAAGAAACAAAAGAAAAAAAAGAATTTATTTTTTAGAAAGCAAAAAACGAATTAAGTGTACACAGAAAACTAGATTGAAAATTGATATCTACACTTTTTTTTTTAACAAAACGATTACACAGTTTAGTTAATAATAAATGCCATTTAGTATCACCATTAACTGCAAATGCAGCTGAGGCCAACGTATAACATAACGTGCCTTTCGAATCACGGAGGAAATCAAGATAATAATTTTTTGGTCAACAATCCCATGACCAATCCTTGCGAAAGTTGCTTTACGACAACGACCATGGGACTCATCAGTATTTTACAGTTGTTACTAAATTTTATTTGAAAACTCAACCTTGAAACTTGCGTTTTATTTGCTAACTCGACCTAAAACAGTGCGCTGTAGAAATATACTTAACACCATGCACAAAATAGTATAGTTTGTGTCTTCTTTCATATATAAAATGATTTGCACTTGAATATTTTCAATAATATTTATCTAAAATGTTATTTTCGTTATCAATTATGGACTCAAATGCCATTTTTTATCACAATACAAGGAAATCTTTATAAATAATATTAGATTTATTACAATAATAAGTTAAATTGTAAACAATGGATGTTATGTTAACTTTTTGATTCCCCATAAAAACTTTCACGCCCATTTTCATCCCTTTAAGTGCTAGTTTTCAGGAAATATATAACCTATTATATATACAATATACCTTCCTAAGGTCTTGAACTGCCAAAATACCAATTTCCATCAATATAGATCTGACAAAGAAGTTTCATACAAACGTTTTTGACTCCATTAGAGAAGGAATTTCCAAAATCTGTTCTTAGTATGTAATAAGAGGTACCCTCCAAATTTCAAGTCTCTACAACCAGGCGTTTAGGCTGAGTGTTGTTTGTCGGGCAGTATATCAGGATATCTCCTTTTATACCTATATGTATAGACTATAAAGAAGAAAAATTTGATTGTTTGTTTGTTTGCATTGTATCCAATGTAAAATTTCCGAAACTATTGGATCAATTTATTAGTCTGTATTAAATACATTTACAAGTCATTATTTGATATTTTCACAGTATGACTTAATCAATATTTAATTAATGATTACCTTTAATAAGTGTGGTCTCAGTAGCAGTCTTGTGCTGCATTTCCATTAGTTCTACCATATGGAGGTCTACAGGTTTGCCTGGTGTACGAATGGCCAGAACGGCATCTACACATGCATCTGTCAATACATTTGCCAGATTCGCATGTACCTATAAAATTAATGGAGTTAATTAATTACTAGCTAAAGAGTTCTACATTATTATTATAAAGAACAATTTCTTAATTATTAAGAACAATTCTCATTCAACCAGTTACAACAAAATTATGTTCAATACTTTCTATATAGAAGAAATTTTGTTATAGAAATAGTAACATCTCATATTTTAAATAGTGTCTATCTAAAACTGACTTTGTCATAATTTGACTAAACCAAAACTTACTTACAAGGATCTTTGTTTTGAGGGAAAAATAAATAAAATGTTATTATAATGTTATCAGTCACTCTTTATTTTTTATCTTTAATTCACATAGCTATCCAGTCTTCGACATTTTCACCATGATAATCAACATACTTAATCCCTCATTTAAGGAACAAACAACAATTGTGTCTACAACAATATGGCCGAATATGACCAATCACAGTGAGAGAACTTCCGAATACTGTTTTGTTAGGTTTCCCACCAAAACTGTACTGTACAGTTGGACACTTAATTTCAAATGTTATTGGAATTGAAATTTATTCATCACCAGCATATTAATGTTCCCACTGCTAGAGGACAGGCCTTCCATTCAAATGGGGCTCCCCCATGCCACATAGAGCCAAAATATAAATAAAAAGAAAAAGAATAGTCAACCACAGCCCATCTATGGATGTCTACGGTGTTAATGAGTGCATATACAGCTGGGACCAATAACTTGATGTGGCTTCCAAAGCATGGACGGAGTCAAGATAATTAATTCTCAGTCACCCATCCTGTGATCAGATCCATATTGCACAGACCAAACACACTAACTATCGTGTCATCAAGCTCTTCATAAAATTTATCTTTTTATTATCTTGTAAGGCCAAGAAAACATCTTGTTTGCCAATATTTTACATTTCCATAAAATACAGACAAAAATACTTTGTTACTAGAGTTAATATAATATGATGAACAGTAATCTACTACATTATTTTAAATGACTTACTTTGGTCTTTAAGGAAGTCCTAGCTATATCAAGTAGATTTTCTCTCTTGATCTCTATAGGTATCTTCATGGATTCTAAAACTTCAACAGCCTTAGTGCGAGCTAAGTCATAGCCTTCAGTTATAATTCTAGGATGCAAACCTGAAATTAATAAATTTGTTTAAAAGTTACACAAAACAGCAAAAAGTTTATTAATACATTGGCAGTGAGTAGAAATAATATAACCATAGAAAAATGTTTATTATCTATGAAAACAAACTTAAATAAAATAATAAATCGCATATAACTAATTTTCAAGTTATTTAATAGTCTGGGAAGATGCTTCACATCCTTTGGTAATGGAAATTTATCACCAGCTTCAATATCCTTACTTTGCAGGAGACATGAAAATAATACATGACTGTCAGTCATATGTAGCAAAAGCGTTTTACTTATAGAGAAAATAAGAAAATATTAGTGTTTTGAAGAAATCATTCTTTTATTGTATACATGCCCCTTGCTTATAACCCATAACATGATGACATTTAACCTTGAACATGATCCACAGTGAACTAAACCATACTTCTGTGAGATTCTGGATGAAACTTCTACCAGACTTGCACTGACCCTTAGTTCTAAGTAAGAGTGACATTAAGAGGAGGAGAGGAATAGAGAATATCTATACTCTTTTCTATTTTGATTAAAGGGATATAACACGCTGAAAATTTTTACCTTCACTAATGTAAATGTCAGCCTGCTTCAATAGCTCCCCAATGAGCAGCACCGTAGACGTGGTACCATCGCCAGTGGCATCGTCTTGCGCTGTCGATGCACGCGCGATCAACGACGCAGTCGGATGCTGTATTTGCATCTCGTGCAGTAGTACGTTTCCATCCTTAGTGATCTTAATATCACCGGCGCCAGACACCAACCTGATAATGACAGCGATAAAAATATTCTAATTTGACAGCGCTACCCGACTATCACATGATTCGGAAAACGTAAAGTACTAATATAATACGAATTAATATCAAATGTTTTTGTATTTTTGGGGTAACTAATAACAAAAATTTTTAGAAAATCCTGATATTACGGTATATTTTATAAGTTTTATAACATGTTACTTACATTTTCATGGTGCCTTTTGGACCGAGGTTAGTTCTCATAACATCTTGAATACCTTTCGCTGCAGAAATATTCACTGCCAACGCTTGCGCTGCACGTGCAAATTCGGCTTTAGGATTTAACAGACTTATTGCAGCCATGGTAAATAGGCAATTTATTGAAATAACGCTGAAAAACTAAATTCACGCTTTCTCGTAGACAAAGAACAAAAGTACAGAGCACAGAGCATAAAACTGATAGATGAGACAAGAGTCATCAAAGAACAAAATAAAAACTGTATATAATGATAAAAAAAACGAAAGCACTAAAAACGCACCTCCACTAGATAGCGACACTAGCAAAAGTTGATTTTTGCAGGAAACGAATGGACCAAAGACAGTCATTTCGGTACCGAAGACACTAACATATTAAGAAACTGAAATTTGAAAAGTTCGAAACTTTAATATCAATCCAAATACGAAAAAGTACAAATGGAATATGAATTGTTTACTGAGTTTTGAAAACTTATTTACTTTTAAACATGATAGAAAACCGGTACGGTTGTCATGGAGAAATCAAGAACGTACTGTGGCGACATCTAGTGAGATTTCGGGAACTAAGGTTTTTTTTTTAATACGTCCTCAGTGTGTGTATATTTATACAGGAATAATTTAAAACCACTGCGAAGATTTTGTGAAAATAAACTTTAAGTAATTTAAACAAACACGTATAAAAAATAAAGTTATCTTTTATCAAAGATCGAGATTTTAAAACTTAATTTATGGTCACTGCGCGCCGTGCGTCGGCTGAGCGCTCGCTCGACGCCGTAGGTATGTACTCATAGGTACCTATCTACACGGGTCACTGACCGCTCATTTTGTTAGATTCGGACTAGATTTTATGCCATGATCTGAGGTGATTTCTAAGAGTAATTTCAATTTTCCCTTCATACTTTTATGGTTTAAGCCATCAAAATGCAAAAAAATAAAAGAGAAACAAAACAACTGCCGTATAGTACCGGTATAGAATTGTACTACCCCTTTTCATCCCGTGGGTGTCGTAAGAGGCGACTAAGGGAAATTTAACCCAAGGAGATGGGCAGCAGCGTCTTCTTGTGCGGGCCACAGAACTGGACCATACTGCGATCGCCAACCCGCTTGCCCAGCGTGGCGATTATGGGCATATCCCCCAAATGCAAAGGCACAAAAGGCCACGGCCCCTAGTTCCCGGCGGCCTCGCTATTCCTGGTCATGGTGGCGACCATGGTAACGGCGAGGCAGGGGGTGCTAAGAATCTCCGGGCTACGGGAGGCCACCACAACCGACTGACCCTGGCGACGTACAACGGACGCACGCTACGGCTTGACTCGCATCTGGCTCAACTTGAGGTGGAGCTTGGAAAGATTAGGTGGCACATATTGGGATTGTGTGAAGTCCGAAGAGAGGGGGAGGATACCATAACCCTCGAATCAGGCCACCTAATGTACTTCCGCGAGGGAGACCAACAATCCCAAGGTGGCGTTGGGTTTCTTGTCAATAAGTCCCTTTCTGACAACGTTGTAGAAATTTCCAGTGTGTCGAACAGGGTGGCGTACCTGATTGTAAAGCTCACTGAGAGGTATAGCCTCAAGGTTGTTCAAGTGTACGCACCGACCTCGACACACTCGGACGATGAAGTGGAGAATATGTACGATGATATATCGAGGGCACTCCACTTCACTACTAAGACCCACTACAGCGTTGTTATGGGGGACTTTAACGCTAAAGTGGGAGTACAAAATTGCGGCGAATCGGTAGTAGGATCCCATGGATTTGGAAGCAGGAATGATAGGGGGCAAATGCTCGTTAACTTCCTCGAACGGGAGGGGCTCTTCCTTATGAACTCGTTCTTTAAGAAACAGCCCCAAAGGAAGTGGACGTGGCAAAGCCCCGACAATGTGACAAAAAATGAGATCGACTTCATTATAACGGACAAAAAGCACGTATTCAGAGATGTCTCCGTGATCAATAGGTTTAACACCGGCAGCGATCACCGACTTGTCCGAGGCTCTCTGAATATCGACTTCAAAGCTGAACGTGTCCGCTTGATGAAGGCCAGGCTCCGACCTACTCCTCTCCAAACCATGATGGAATCTGAAACGTTTCAGTCAAATCTTGAGAACCGATTCGCTGCCATGGAAACCACAATTGACGTTGACGAGAACCTTGAAAATGTGGTTCGAATACTCAGGGAAGAAGGTACGAAATTTTGTAGCATGCAGCGTAAGGGCGGGAAGTCTAAGCTCTCCGATAGAACTTTGGGGCTAATGAAGGAACGACGTGAAAACCCACCTGTCACTTCGTCAGGAAAACGTGCTCAAAACCAGGAGATCAGCAAACGCGTACGATATGACCTCCGGTGCTCCAACACTCACGCTATAGAAAGAGCGATCGAGCAAAACAGGGGGTCAAAAGTATTCGTACAATCTCTTGGAAGAAGCCACTTGACGAAGTTGACCACAGCAAGCGGGGAAGTCGTTGCTTCGAAGCCAGCGGTCCTCTCGGAGGTGGAAAATTTCTATGCCCGGTTATACGCTTCGCATGCATCTCGACCTGATCCCGGAAATGAGGATTCTAGAGCCACATTAACACGCCACTACACCGAAGATCTGCCAGAAGTCAGCATTGGCGAAATCGGGATCGCTCTGAGACAGCTTAAAAATGGAAAAGCCCCTGGAGAGGATGGCATTACAACTGAATTATTAAAAGCAGGAGGTAAACCGGTACTGAAGGAGCTCCAAAAGCTTTTTAATGCTGTCCTCTTCGAAGGGAGAACTCCGCAGGCGTGGAGTAGGAGTGTAGTCGTCCTGTTCTTCAAAAAGGGAGACAAAACCCTGCTGAAGAACTATCGACCCATTTCCCTTCTAAGCCACGTCTATAAGCTGTTTTCTAGAGTAGTCACGAACCGTCTTGCGCAAAGACTTGACGAATTCCAACCACCGGAGCAGGCTGGGTTTCGGAGTGGATACGGCACCATAGACCACATCCACACAGTGCGGCAGATTATACAGAAGACTGAAGAGTATAATCAGCCCCTGTGTCTAGCATTTGTGGACTATGAGAAGGCCTTTGACTCGATTGAGATCTGGTCCGTTCTGGAGTCCCTGCAGCGATGCCAAGTCGATTGGCGATACATCCAAGTGATAAGATGTATTTATGAGGCCGCCACCATGACCGTCCAAGTACAGAATCAGCAAACAAGTCCTATACCGTTGCATCGAGGAGTGAGACAAGGAGACGTTATGTCTCCGAAATTGTTTACTAATGCAATGGAGGATATGTTTAAGACGCTGAACTGGAAAGGACGTGGCATCAACATCAATGGCGAGTACATCTCTCACTTGAGATTTGCTGACGACATCGTCATCATGGCAGAAAATCTGCAGGACCTACAACAGATGCTGAATGACCTGGCTGACTCTTCTATGCGCATCGGCCTACGGATGAACTTGGATAAAACCAAGGTCATGTTCAACGAACACGTACTACCGGAACCGATTGCAGTATGCGGTGCCGTTCTCGGAATTGTTCCAAAATATGTATACCTCGGGCAAACATTGCAGTTAGGTAGAAACAACTTCGAGAGCGAGGTAAATGGAAGAGTTCGGCTAGGTTGGGCAGCGTTTGGGAAACTACGTCAGGTCTTTACATCGTCGATCCCGCAGTGCCTAAAGACAAAAGTCTTTAATCAGTGCGTCCTACCCGTTATGACATACGGAGCCGAAACGTGGACACTGACGGCACGGCTGGTCCACAAGTTGAAGGTCGCTCAGCGCGCTATGGAAAGGGCTATGCTCGGCGTTTCTCTGCGGGATCGAATCAAAAATGAGGTGATCCGGCAGAGAACCAAGGTTATCGACATAGCCCACCGGATTAGCAAGCTGAAGTGGCAGTGGGCTGGCCATATTAGCCGCAGAACCGATAACCGTTGGGGTAAACGAGTTCTTGAGTGGAGACCGCGTCTCGGCAAACGTAGTGTAGGACGTCCTCAGGCGCGGTGGAGCGATGATTTGCGCAAGATGGCTGGCAGGAGCTGGATGCGAACAGCCGAAAATCGAAATAGATGGCGTGCAATTGGGGAGGCCTATGTCCAGCAGTGGACGAATATGGGCTGATGATGATGATGGAATCACATTTCACACATAAGTATTGGAGGAAACTTACATTTTCAGTAATTTAAAAATAAAATTTAAGTAATTGCTTGGAGCACAAAACCTCAGCCAAATATTACCATCGTTAAACGTTATTATTTACCTCGAAATTGAGTAACTTTAATTTTATAACGCGTTATTTCTAACAAAACACAAATTACGTTATATTTTTGTTTCTTGTTGTATGGAAATTATGTTTAATAAATTTTGCATTGAAAATGCTACATAGAGATCTAGATCACAGATATTGAAGTATTAGAATAAGGAAGTCAAAAATAAAAAAAACGGGTTTATTTTTTTACTTCTTCATTTTTACTAAACGGGTTTGCATTAATTCTAAGATTTCCAAACCGACATCAAAAAGTGAAAGAGAAGTGAATTTCAGTCATTCGTAATAGTCGAAATAAACCTTCATAGAATTCAACTTCGCGCAGCGTAGTTTTTTTGACACATTTTAAGAGCGATGATATGTATTTTACTATAAAGGGCTACGTCGAATAAAGCAAAACTCATATCCAAACTTATCAAATGCTTCTATATATTAAAATTTTAGTTCACATAGTGGAAGTTTTCAAACTTAACAGCGAACTCCGTCTTTGCTTTTTATTTGGTCTGAGTTACCATGTATTTTAATATTTGTTCAAAATGAATTCCACCTCTGTCCAGACGTGCACATTTCATTAAATTGTCATTTAATTTATTTAAAACATTAGTGTCACCTTTCACTTCACTAAAAGCGTTATTAAGTCTTCTAGACTTTGTGCCTCCTCTACATCTCGGCGTTTGACTTCTTCCCATAAGAAATGTAGAAGCCACTCGCATAAGGCTCGATGTGGTACTGGGTCTAGGTCATGGAGCTGCTGAACCGGCTGTAGGTGGTACGAATGGAGTCCGGCTGTTTTTAGCAGCTTCAATACCGCAGGCTGGCTCACATCAAAGCGACATGGCGCAATCATGGGTACTGACTCTGGGACTTCGTCTGTTAAAATGGTTCGAAGCATTAGGGACCGCGGGGTTACGGATCCCAAAGGCTCGCATACGAGGTATGCTCT